GGGCTGCGCTATATTCAGGTTGTTCTATAGTACAAACAAAATTTCAAGACTGGCTCCTTATTGAGCATATGTGAGCAGCACTCCAGCTTTTTATTACAAAACAATGTCCAGTTTCAGCAAAGAGGCCTCAATTCTGAAGCCGAGTCTAGAAGAACGTTTACAAAGGAAACAATTTGACTGGATTCCATGAGAAAAAATACGCACATATAACTCCACAAATTTTATGTTATAAACAAAAAAGAAGACTTAGTTCAAGATGTTTCTGTAAGACATAAATGTATTGCTTCACATGCACACAGTATTTTAAAATTCTAATCTTACAAAAAACTTACGGGAATTCCGTCGGCACCAGGGAATCCAGAAACGCCTCTTGCTCCCTATAAAGAAGGCAAATAAACTTAATGAAAGCCAAGACACCGGCCGCTCTTCATAAAATTAGAGGAAATATCAAGTTTTCCGTACCACATCTCCTTTTGGTCCTGTGATCCCGGGAGCACCCCTTTCACCCTTGTCCCCTTTGCGGCCCTGCAGTCCTGGGAATCCTTGTAAACCTGGGGGCCCGGTGTATCCCTGGGGGCCCACTGGCCCTGGCTGACCCTGTGGAAAAAACATACATTCATTTCTCATAATTAACAGCAATGAATGAACATTTTAATCACACTGCTTTCGAAACTACACTTTTCATTCTCAAATGAAATAATCTTCAGAGAACACTATATATAAGTTACCATATTCTGCCGTGATGTCCACAAAGTGATGTCCGGCAGAGAAAGAATTCATAGAGTTTAAAGAAAAAAAATTAAATGTAAGAAAAAATTATCCTAAATTACTAAAGTGATGTTATTGTGAAATGATAATATTGGCCTGGTAAATAATCAACTTAACTTGGCTTTAAAAAAAATTCCTTTCAGTATTAAAAAAAAAAGTTCCAAACAGATTTCTAAGACTTTTATCTCTACCTCAGTGTAACGCATACAATAGATACAGAAATGTATATTGCATTCGGGTACGAAAAAGATCCCCAGATGTTTAAGTGATTAGATAAGCTCTCTTTTTGTTCATACACACACTGCAAATGCACTGGAGTGGCTGTGCACGTACACATACAGAAAAAACCAAAAGTTTTCCGAAAAATATAAAAATGTTTTCATAGCCATCAGGATGGCTGTCATAAAAAAAAAAAAAAAGAAAGAAAGAAAATTATGTATTGCTGATGTATGAGAATTGGGAATCCCTATGCAGTGTCGGTGAGAATGTAAAATTATATAGCCACTGTGGAAAACAGTACGATGGTTCCTTAAAAATTAAAAGTATAATTACCATGTGATCCAGCAATTCCACCTCTTGGATAATATTCACAAGAATTGAAAGAAAAGGCTTAAACAGATATTTCTACACTGAGATTCTCTGAGACATATTTTTTTTACAATGGCCAAAAGGTGGAAGCAAAGTATTCATCGACAGATAAATGGATAAACAAAATGTGGTCGGTCCATACAATGGAATATTGTTCACCTTGAAAAGGAAGGAAATTATGACACTTACTACAATATGAATCTTGAGGACACTATGCTAAGTGAAATAAGCCAGTCATAAAAGGACAAATACTGTATGAATCCATTTATACGAGGTTCCTAGAATAGTCAAATTCACAGAGACAGAAAGCAGAATGGGGGTTGCCAGAGGCTGGGTGAGAGGAAATGGGGAGTTATTGTTTAGTGGGTACAGAGTTTTTGTTTGGGAAGATGAAAAAGATCTGGTGATGGAAGGTGGTGATATTTGCTCAACAATGTGAATGTACTTAAATGCTACTGAACTGTATAAAAATGGTTAATTTTTGGTTAATTTAAATGGTTAATAACAGTAAATTTTGTTATGTATGTTTTATCACAATAAAAATAAAAAAAGATTAAAAAGGGATTCTATCTCTCTCTCTAATGGAATTTATGTATTATAGTTATGTTTTAATGAACCTCCCAGTTTAGCCTAAATAAAAATACAACAACCCCTGTCTTTATTCCTCTTTGAAAGAATGAATCTGCTGTTTATTCATCATATAGAACCTTTATCTGTCAAGCCCTGTTTGTTTTTGCATTTCAAATTCCTATCTTGCCTTTAGATTGAGGGGTACTGAGCGATTATTTCTAGTCTTTTGTATTGCCTGTAAGCGACATTTCCTATATAAACTGTACAGCTAACAAGTTTGTTTGTCTTTACAGAATTTTATAATCTATTTGCAACATTCCACACAATTGAGGTGAAGCGAACAATTTTAAAATGCAGCCCAAGCTGCAGTGTTGTCAGAGATGCTTTGGCGTAGAGGGATGTGGGGAGATCTTGCCTCTGAATTTCATTATGATTCCTATGCTGCCCAGTCCTTTAGATATTGGTCCCAAGTGTGGGGGAAGCAGTTAAGACATTTTTTCGGGGTGTAAGACATGGTAGATGAGAGCTATCCCAAAGCTCAGGACCCTTGTCTCCTCAGACAAAGGGGAGTTTTGGGAAGTCCCCTCAGGCCTTCTCTGGGCCAGATCAGAGTTTTAGAATGGTTCTACCCTCCACATGTTCCAGAGAGTCTAGTCAATGCAGAAATCAGCAGATACTCACCTAGGGTAGCCTGACTGCAAGCATCTTACGTCACAGTGAAGCCATGTATTTAAAATCTTTGAAGAATATGATAAAAGTGGGGCTATCGCCACTGTTTCTTCTTAGTTATGAAGAATTTGTGGTCACAGACAGAGAGCTCTGACCTTGGATGCATGATATCCCAGGCTCACTCATGTCTAATTCTAGTCAGGGGTCTTAATATGCTACATCTGTTGTAAGTTTGGGGACAAAACATGCTCTGATTCTGACTTTTATGGATCTTTCCCAGTTGTGCTCATTTTTGTTTTTTTGTGGCTCTGTCAGAATACAGTCTTCTTGTGATTATATGCGATGCCCCGAAGCCTTCAAGTTTCCTTAATTATGGTGAGGCTTGCCAGTGTTTATAGGAAGCAGCCATTGGGGGATAAAATGTTCTTCATTACGACTGCCATTTTTCCTATCTATAGACTACATCTCGAGCCGAGGGAATTACTGTATAGAACCAACCTAGGGGAACATCTACTACTAACCAAAAGGAAATACTTGTGTCTTAATGATGAAAAGCCACATTCTTGTCTTGCACTCATTAACCTTTTCTCAATTCTTGTCGATGGGGAAAGTGACTAAAGACATCACGTACTCATTTCCCTTCCATTGTCAGCAAACTTCTTTGTAACTTTTATTTCTTGGATGGAAAGTCTAACTTTAGGCATAAAACTCCAGTCTTTCATTTACTGGAGCACGTTGTCAGTATTTTCTTTTTATTGAGGTGAAATTCCCAAACTATAAAACTCACCATTTTGAAGCGGCTTCTTCACAATGTCCTCTATCCATCATCTCTATCTAGTTCTAAAACATTTCATCACCCCAAAAGGGAAGCTCATACCCGTTGATCAACCACTACCATGCCTCCTCACCCCCAGTCTCTGGAAACCACCAATCTGTTTCTGGTTTCTACAGATTTATTCATTCTTGATATTTCATATAAATGAAGTCATATGCAAGATATATGACTTTTTGTGTCTGGCTTCTTTCACTTAACATAATTTTTTTGAGGTTCATCCATATTACAGCATGTATTAGTACTTCATTCACTTTTATGGCCAACTGATATTCCATCGAATGGATAAATCACAATTCGTTGTGAATAGTGCTGTGAACATGCATGCACAAGTATCTGTTTGAGCACCTGTTTTCAATTCTTTTGGGTATAAACATAGGGTGGGATTGCTGGATCCTGTGGTAATTCTATGGTTAACTTTTTGAGGAACCAACATACAGTTTTCCATACTGGCTGCACCATTCTATAGTCCTGCTGATAGTGTATAAGGGTTCCAGATTTCTCCACATCCCTGCTAACAACTGCTATTTTCTATGAAAAGAAATTATAGCTATCCTAGTTAAGTTGGTGTCATTCTAAAAAGCTCATGTTGAGCTTCTGACATATGGGACATTTTACGAAATTCCGTCCAGTTTCTGCCATGGGGGAAGGGACAGGAAGAGTCTGGAGATAATAAGAATCATACCCTTGTCCTCTGGGACTGACCCCTCAGTCCTGTCACGGTGGAAACCCTGGGTGGCTGGGACTAAATGAACATTTATGTCACAGTCCAAGGACTTTGACATGTATGTTTTGGTCATCAAGGACTCAGATTTTCCCTAAGATATCTTGCCCACGTGGACATCTAGTGTGTTTGTTAAGAGCAGCTGGAACAACCAGGTAAATAAAAAGGATTTTCCTCTTGTTAATCATCATCATTACCGACTTCCATCCTCAGCTGAAAAGTCCCAATGGGAAAAGTTATTTCCATCTCTTCCTTTCCTTTTATAATAAGTGATGTTAAAAATAAAAATTACCCCAGAAAGAGTAAGACTTTACTTTAAATATCTTTGCATAAACTTCAAAAACTCCTAAATTTCTGAAGCTTCTAAAATTCCTGCAATATACTTGATAAAAGTATTTCCACAAAATATTTATTAAACGCCGACAGACCTCATCCCTGCCAGAGAATTTGATTTGTATAGGTAATTACTTCTCAGGAAATAGGAAAATGAAAAGTATCATTTAATTGCATATCTTCTGGGATGAAGCGATGTTACAGGTTTTAAAAAATGGTTTGTCTCATTTTACCTCTATGATAAATGCATAAAGTAGGCATCTCCCCCACTTGCGAGAGGAGAGACAATGGGGTAGGGTGCTTGCGAAGGTTCGGTAGGAAGAACTGACTGTTATGCAGTTAGGTCTTCGGAGCGGGACTGTCTCTGAAGCCTTCCATTTTTTGTTACACTCTTGCTGCTCAGAGTGAGATCTGTGAGCTGAATCAGCCATATGGGAGCTTGTGAGAAATGCAGAGTCTCAAGCCCGGTCCAGACCTCCTGACCTGCATTGAACATGATCCTCAGGAGGATTCTTAGCACAGTGAAGCCTGAGAATCACTGCATGACCCCACCTTCCTTCCCTTCCTGACTTTTTTTGGGAAGACAGGTTTCTTTTAATAAGAAAAATTTCTTAAGCATGAAGTCGGATCTCAGAAGAAAGGTCAGGCTTCCTGAGTTTGGCAGAGGAAAATCTAATTTTTAACTTCGTAGAATACTATTTCTAATTAACCTTTCTTGGTCTTATGCTTCAATAAAACCAAGATCTCTGTAACAATACAGAATGAACTTTGATCACTGTCAGGATGGAAGGTTGCACAATGACTCTCTTCTTTTGAAATCACTCTTGGAGTATGTGTGGGATGTTCAGGGTCAGTTTTGGAAGCCAAAGTCTGAAAAGTGGATAGAATGGGTCCAGACTTGAATACACATTGCTTAAATACCACGACGATAGAGTGAATGCACGTAAAGTCCTGAGACACTTACTAAGCTTTCATGAATTTGGAATTTTCACTTCCAAGAAAAGGGGCAAAATATAATCGAATATGTGCACACGTAGAACAACTGCAACTTCAGACTGCAAAATAAAGGTAGAAGACCGATGATTCATCAGAGCCCCAAGAAATTTCACATTC